TGAAGGATCCAGTGACAGGGAAAGTGGTGGAGGAGAGCTTGTGGACTGAGTTTGCGATCTTCGACAGCTCCCTTGCTCAAATGACAGCCTCCGAACGGTGGAACCGCCATGGGGCCTCTCACAAGAAGTTGCGAGACATTGCCATGAGAGTGACAGCGATGTGGAGCACTGCGACCCCTTGTGAGAGGAACTGGTCCTCTCTCGATCTTGTCCACGACAAGAGGAGGGGCCCGCTGTCGCCTGACAGCCTCGCCAAGTTAGTGTACATCCACTGGAATCTTCAGCTGCTGGACATCAAGAAGAAAAAGAGTACAGGAAGCTTGGCAGGGTACTTGGACATGTGGGCTGCATTCTTCGATGAAGTGGAGCCACCAACGCCGAATGATCCTGCAGTGTTGCCAAGGGCTGCAACTACAGCAGACTTGAGTGACGACGAAGTGGCCCGCCGGGCAAATCTAACGAAGATCCCCCGAGCTAGACTCATGAAGCCTCATGTCGTTGATGGATCAAGCTCAACGGACAACAGTGATGATGGGGAGGACCTAATTTGGAGAGGCAAAGGCAAGAACAAAAAGGTTGTTGTCGATGACGGCGAAGGCAAGGCGCAGATGGATGGCAAAGGCAAGGCGCATATTGATGTGGACGATGAGGAAGAGGATATTGACGAGAGCGAGGAAGATCCCGAGAACTTTACTTTGCGGTCGCCAAGAGCGAGCGACATATCTAGCGACGACAACGAGCTGGATGACGACCTCACACGTAACATGGAGCGGGGTTACATTGATAGTGACCTAGAGTTCTTGCGGCCTCGGGGGATGGACTTCAACGCATGCGTCGAACTGGACAAGGACCTCGATGACGACGCTGAGAGGGCGAGGGCGCAGTCCCTTGCTCATCGTGATTGTGCCATTGTGGAGCAATGGATTCGAGAAGAAGCAGCAAAACGAAGTGCTGTCCCCCCTCCGATGAGGATGAACTATACAACGGCGGAAATGGGCGGATGTCTACCGGCGGAGGGGGTTCAGCAGCAGCGGCATGCAGAAGGCATGCAACGGGAACAACAAGAGGAAGACGTTCAGCAGCACCAGCAGCGAGAGCAAGGCCTGCAGGAGCAAAGACAAGAGGAGGGCCTGCAACAGCAAGATGATCGGCAGCAACAGCGAGAGGAAGGATTGCAGCAGCAGCAGGTGCAGCAGCAGGATGATCGGCAGCAACAACAGCAACAAGAACAACACGACGGAGTAAAGCAGCAACAGCAACAAGAAGATGGACCGCATCCGCAACAGCAGCAGCACAAGGATGGAGCGTAGCAGCAGCAACAGACAAAACGGGATGGACCGCAGCAGCATGAGCAGCACAAGGATGGAGCGCAGGAGCAGCAGCAGCAGACAAAGCAGGATGCACCGCAGCAGCATCAGCAGCACAAGGATGGAGCGCAGCAGCAGCAGCAGACAAAGGAGGATGGAACGCAGCAGCATCAGCAGCAAGAGCACGATGGTCCGCATAAGCAACTAGAGCACGATCCGTTGCAGCAGCAGCAAAAAGAAAACGGGAGTGCAACGGGAGTCGCTCGAGTGTACTCCAGGCGGCCTCCAGTGCCCAGTGCAGCAGCAGTCCGGGGTGTGGTTCAAACCCTTCCTTTCCCTGCGCAGGTCGAGGGCGTGCAGCACGACAACTTGGACGTGAGCCTGGCGGGAAGGAAGAAGAAGGTGCAGCCTGACACAGGTCCAAAAGTGGCAAGGGGGCGCCCGCAAAAGTACCCACTTCAGCCAGCTCCATCAGCTTGCGCTCCGGTCCGCGAGGATGGTGGTGAAGGGGGTGAGGTGGAACAGCATGTGATTGGAGGAGGGAAGGTGCAAGGGGGCCCTGCACTCACAGTGGACGGTGTGGAGACACACCCGTTGAAGCGTCCGAAGAGGAAGGCGGCGAGGAAGGCGAGGGTCGTTGAGGACGATCCGACGGATGCGGAAGAAAGCAGCAATGGGAGTGAAGAAGATGATCGGGAAAGCGACTGGGAATAGGGCTCGGAGGGGGAGGAAGTTGGAAGGCCATACACTTGTACTGGTCTGAGGGCTGATGATGTTCAACAGTCATAGTCGAAGTGGTGTTTTTTTTGCACAGTTAATCCCTTGGGTTTTCCAAGGCAATCAATGCTATGCCTTTTCCTTCTTGTACTTCTTCTTCTTCTTCTTCTTCTTCTTCTTCTTCTTCTTCTTCTTCTTCTTGTGTTATGACTGTCAGTCTGTTACCATGTTATGTCAATGGAGGCTCACTGTCAATCACAATTCATAAGACCTCTAAGTTCGTGCAACAGTTCCTGTGAAACTGCCGGCTGCACTTTGCCACTTACGTTGTTTACAGCCTGCCATTCTTTACAACATGACTTCGAGTTTGCTTGCATGGCTGCTTGGAATCACGGGGAGCAGCGGACTCAGTCTAAGTGTGGACTGGAACCGGGTCTGATTGTTGAGTCCACACTTACGACTCAGTCCGCTGTTGGAGACCAGCGGGACAGAGTTGCTCAAAGTTTGCTGCTCCCCGTGATTTCAAGCAGCAAACTTTAAGCAACTCTGTCCCGCTGGTCTCCAGCAGCGGACTCGGTATGAGACATTATTTTGCGACAGTGTTCGGAAATCAGGGGATTTTTGTTTGCTGGCATTTGCTGCTTGTGAGTGCTTCAACCTGCTTTACTTTTGCGAGTCCACGGGGGATGCAGTAGTTGCTGTGTGCATGCCACCAGCTGCAGTTGCTCAAGTACAGGCGGGACAAAGCAGCTGCTGCATCCCTGGTCCTGCAAAACGGGCAACCCAGGATCCACCCCGCTTTTGCACCCCCTCCCCTCACCATCCTCACTGCCCCTGAAACAGACCTAACACATCCAATGTCATCCATAGAAATTAGATATGAGGCTTACGAGCCTATTACGAGGCCGGGAATATGCAGTACTCGGAATGCGCAGAAAGGCCCCGGGAAAAAAAAAAAAAAAAAAAAAAAAAAAAAAA